TATATATATAACAGGAGGAAGCCGAGTAGTCGGTATCACAGGATAAATGTGGTTTGTACTCAGTAAACAGTGGCATGAACTAGGTATATTTTCGAGGGACGCTTCGTGTTATGTGTTATGAATATAGTTGAAGAATGGGTTTTATATATCACGTAGCATCGTATATAATGCCATGATCGAAAATAGATAGATCACAATAGATGTTTATCAGACCATCCATAGCGGCATTGCTGAAAGATGAAGAGAAAACACAGCAAGCTAAGGATATGTGCTAGAGACTGAGGCATAATATTTGGCAGACCTAAAGACACTGCTTATACGTAGGACCTGAGGATCTATCTTATTGGCGATCCAAGTGCCCTGCATACAGATATAAATGGCGATAATAAAGGAATACAAAGAAAGCATTCCACATGAAGAGTTGCAAACAATAAAGGAACGTTACTACGAAACTATCAAGCTACATCGATTACGTAGGGAGAGAAGACAAAGCGATGGTCCAACAAAAGAAATGAATACAATTGTCCCAGCCCCGAGGTATCAGGCTGAATGTGGTCGTTTTAACTTACTTACATGAGCACGTAGTGTAACACAAGTCCGGACTATTCATCCAGACTTTAAGGTAGGTGTAATAGTGCTCCCTTCCTTTTTCTTCTGAACAGGGAGGATAAGCCTTTCGTTCAACTCCCTTTTCTTAATTCGAGTACTGTACACGTATCGACAGAAAACGGAAAACTGAAGAAAGGAAGTCCATGTCTAACAAAAAAGAAAAGGGCGCTTTAAAAACAATATTACATTTAGGCCTTGTTCTCGAGCTCGGCCAGGAGCTTCTCACCCTTGGCACGGGCGGACTCGAGGTCACCAACCATGTAGAAAGCAGCTGCAAGACAACGTTAGCATACAAGTCAAATACAAGCATTAGTCAGCGAAAACTTACCCTCAGGAAGGTCATCAGCCTCTCCGTTGATGATGGCCTTGAAGGAGCGGATGGTGTCCTTGAGGTCGACCAGCTTACCCTCGATACCAGTGAAGACCTGGGCGACGGTGAAAGGCTGGCTCAGGAAACGCTGAAGCTTACGGGCACGCTCGACAGTGAGCTTGTCAGCCTCAGAAAGTTCGTCCATACCAAGAATGGCAATGATATCCTGGAGGGACTTGTACTCCTGGAGCATCTGCTGGACACGGGTGGCAGTGTCGTAGTGGTCCTGACCGACGATACGGGGGTCGAGCATACGAGACTTGGAGTCAAGAGGGTCGACAGCAGGGTAGATACCCAACTCAGAGATACCACGGGACAAGACAGTGGTGGCGTCCAAGTGAGCGAAGGTGGTGGCGGGGGCAGGGTCAGTCAAATCGTCAGCAGGGACGTAGACGGCCTGGACGGAGGTAATGGAACCCTTGGTGGTGGTGGTAATACGCTCCTGCATACCACCCATGTCGACGGCCAGAGTGGGCTGGTAACCGACAGCAGAGGGGATACGACCAAGAAGGGCAGACACCTCAGAACCGGCCTGGGTGAAACGGAAAATGTTGTCAATGAAGAGCAGCACATCCTGACCCTCCTCGTCACGGAAGTACTCGGCAATGGTCAGACCGGTAAGGGCAACACGGGCACGGGCACCTGGGGGCTCGTTCATCTGACCGAACACAAGGGCGACCTTGGATTCACCCTCGAGCTGAATGACACCAGTCTCCTGCATTTCGTGGTACAGATCGTTACCCTCACGGGTACGCTCACCGACACCAGTGAAGACGGAGTAACCACCGTGGGCCTTGGCAATGTTGTTCTGGGAAGAGTTAGAAACTAGTTGAGAAAGGCAAGTCTTTTGGTTGCAGGTGAACATACAATCAACTCCTGAATGAAGACGGTCTTACCGACACCGGCACCACCGAAGAGACCAATCTTACCACCACGAGCGTAGGGGGCAAGCAAGTCGACGACCTTGATACCAGTGACAAGAATCTCACCCTCGGTGGACTGCTCAACGAACTCAGGGGCCTCGGCGTGGATAGGGGCGTACTTGGTGGCCTTAACGGGACCACGCTCGTCGACGGGTTCACCAGTGACGTTAAGGATACGGCCCAGGGTGCCAGGACCGACAGGAATGGTGATGGGGGCACCAGTGTCGCGAGCAGCGGCACCACGAGTCAAACCCTCGGTACCTGAAAGAGTGATATGTCAACTCAGAATTCGGGTTACCATAGCCAGGTGTATGGGAGCGGTGAAGCCAGGGCGAGCACCTCTGATATGCCCATGGTGATACAAAAGCAATAGAAGGGGGAAACTTACCCTCCATAGCAATAGTACGGACGATGTTCTCACCCAAGTGTTGCTGTTTTTGGTTAGCTATATCGACTTGATGTCATTCAAGCTCTGGGGATACCTACAGAAACCTCAAGGACGAGCTTCTGGCCATTGTTCTCGGTCTCAATGGCGTTGAGAATGGCAGGGAGCTTCTCACCCTCGAACTTCACTGTGATCGAAAGTCAGATATCGTGTTTTGAGCCACACATGGAGTCGTTGTTGATGATTTCATGATGGAATTGAGGCCAGGAAAAGATTTTCGCGTAGCCGGGTAGCAGGGTTTTCGTCGGGAGTCGGAGACATACCGTCGACGACGGCACCAATGACCTGGTGAATCTTGCCGGTAGAGGCGGCCTCAGTGCTGGCCAATCTGGCAAGGGAAGGGAAGCCATTGATCTTGGAAGGAACGCGACGGGCGACCGGGGTAGGCCGGGCAAAAGCAGCCCTCCCGAAGGTCCGGGCAAGACCGCTGTAAAAGGGAAAAACAGTTGTTAGCAAGCGGGAAAAAAAAGGTCATAGGGCGACGAGGTCAGAGTGGGCGGAGCAACACACCTCTTGAACATTATGATGGTGTTTAAGAGCGAAACGGGGATAAATGAGGTCAAAGGGACGAGAAGATGGGGAGAGGGAAGAAAGAGGGAAGGGAAGGGAAGAGGTTGAGGTTGAGGTGGACACGGGCGACTGTGTCCGGTCTTAGCCTTTCCGGGGCGGTTTTGCCGACGATCCCGTGATGTACCGAGCAACGCGCAGAAAACATGGACAGAGCTGCATCAGCTTCATGGTTGCTAGGCAGTGTTATTCCATTTTACAACTTTTCAACCGAATACATAGCTGCTGCGTTTTGATCTGATAGATAGTTTTTTTTACTCGTCTCCTCCCAGTCCAACGCTGTATGGAGAAGTCTCCCGGCGGTTGTCATGGAAATTTACACACAAAATGAGGAGCTTCTTGGCAACCATCGGATACAAGGGAGCATTGAACCCCATCAAAAATGCCATTTGTCCAGCACACTATCCAGTAGAATCGTGACTAGTCGAAAGCATTCCGGTCTAAATCGAGTGTATGCGGCTCCAATCAATACGGTGAAGAAATAAACATGTCGTAACGGGCATAGACCCGGCTTTCCAGGTATTATTTTGGTTTTCCTATTACCCCCGTCTGGTACACCGTAAAGATCCAAGCTCCTATTTCGGACGAACGCCAACTTGGGAAAAAATCTGACGTGTTCCCGTGATTCTCCTTCAGGATCACCAAGGTATTGACATAGTCAATTTTGGCATATAGACCTTCGCAGTACCAATTATATTAGTTTTTCTAGAGGTCACCAAGGCCAGGTTCTTTGCCAAGCAATAAGCACAAGAATGGTCATGGCCAAAGGAGTGTAATGGCGCATGAATGTAAACGTCGGAAACGTTACTATGTAGCAGCCGTTTTCCGACCCCGTCGTACAGTTCCGACCTAACCACCAGGGTCGACATGGCTGATATCAAAACCTCTTTCAGGAAAAGAGGGTTATGTTAAAGTTTAGGGAAATCATAATCGCTAGGCATTAATCTACAAGTTATAGCCCCTAAATGTTAGCTACCAGTCGCGGCAGGATAACAGACTCTATGGCTACAAAGGAGATACATTGATTATGGCACAGTACGAGATACAAGTCTTTTGGGCTGACATTGGGCAAAACAAATAAGACAGAGGCGAAGGGAAGTGCACATGATGATAGGCACAGAACCGGTGTTAACAGAAAACGGAAGGAGGACAGCGATGGGTGCCGATTGAACCCACAGCACATCCTATCCAGCTTGTCCAATTGTTATACCTGTTCTTCCCGCATCACTGGCCCACAATCTATGACTTCTCAAGAGGAGGGCTCTGGACGAAGCCCTTACCCTCGTAACCCTCGGCGCTGATACCGTAGATAGGGTTGATCTTCTCGGCCTGTTGTGACAAGTAGTCAGTATCTGATCTATTGAATTTCAAGAGATACTGCCCAATGGCAAGCCCAAGTGAGGGAGGATGATCAAACGTACCTTGGCATACTCGTTGGAAGCCTCCTGCCATTCCTTGGACATGGTCTTAGGCTGGGGCTTAGCGAACAAGTGAATGACATAGAAAACGGCAACGGAGACAGCAGTGAGCTGGGCGACCTTGACGGCAATTCTGAGACCCTCTCCCTTAGGGGCCTGCGCGCGAGGACCATGGGGACCAAAAGCAATCCAGTAAGCTAAAATGCGGGGGGGGGAAACCCATCAGCAAAATTCTGATCGTTCGGGAGTAGCGGGGATTGTGTAGATAGGAAAAACATACCAGCCTTCTTCTCCTGAAGAGTCATCTGGTGCCAGTCAACCTTCATACGGTCCCTGAGCTGCATCCACAGATCGGCCTGCTCCTGAGGGGGCATGGCCTCCCAGCGCTTCTCGATACCGGCGAGTGTGGGATTCGAGATGGCGTGCTCGGATGCGGCGCGGGTCTGCTGGGGAGCGATAGACTTCTTCGCAGGCTGAGGGCGGGCATTCAGACAAGCCATTGGGCCCGAGACGGTGCGGTAGGAACGAATGGCAGTGGTGGACATGGCCGAGCTGCGTGCAGCAGCCCGAGAAACGGACTGAAGGAACATTGTGTGGGAGGTCGTGTGCGCGACTAAAAAAGACCAATTAAAAATCAAACACACTCTCCGTGAACGAGAGATGCAATGCCTCGGGATTGAGGATGAATTAAGGTGGGATGGGAGTGGAGGAGGTGATCGAGACTTCGCGATGGGAAACGAAGACGTCGTTCGACTGTGGTTTGAGGTGGAAAGTCGAGTATCCGGCCGGTTAGGTTAGTCCGTTTTGCGTGCGCCCTCATTGGTCCACGTCCCAATCTGTCCCGACCTTTGCTTCCTTCACCCAAAACACCTGATGCTTCCATCCCTATCGAACATCGCAAACTGTTTCAAGGGTATCTTCACTTTATGGCCGGCTTTTTGGTCGATTAATGAAGCTTGGCAAGCCCCAACAGTCAATATCCCGATTTTTCCACGCCGACACATATTTTTGTTTTTCCTACGGTACTTAGATACAGCGAAGCAATACAGCTCACCTGACGGGCGATCTCGGGATCATGGCACGACTCTCAGTCTTACGCAAGGACCGGCATAATGGGATATGTTTAAACGATGAGGTCGTGTATTCTACTCTACACTGATCCTGTGAAACCACATCCCCTACCAGGTAGCAATATTCTGTACAGGTATAAACGCTGACAACAAAGAAAACCCTTCCCAAACGCTTGGTCACGGAGAGTGCCACGATCGCAAAAAACGAGGATACGATCACTATGGAAACAGACAAGTCGTAACGATCTCATATTGAACTAGAATTTGTGCAGGAGAATGTCATTGAATTGGTTCGTTCCGAGACACTCCGCGAACTGGAAACGGAGCGGTGCAGTGTAATAACCAGCACACACAAGCTCACCTGGCCCGGGCCCAGCCGACGCCGTCATTTATTTACCAGCCTTTCCGCCGCTGGCTTCGGCCAGAACAGCCTTCCACTCAATGTCGCCTTTGTCGTCGGCGTGGAGGGAGGTGTGGATGTTAAGGGCGTTCTTCAGAACCTCCCTAGTGCTGGCGTAGATCATAGACCACTATTGCAAGAATCGTCAGCAACAGCTAGCATGAGAAAGGAAGATAGAGCGCAAAAAGGCTTACGAGAGTCGGGGTATCACTAGGAACCCAGGAAATGAAGATTATCTTGCTCCTACACAGCGAACGAGTTGGTAAGCTGTCAATCAACTCAGAAGGCGACTTCGGCAGCACCATACCTCTTGCCGTCGGTACCGAGCTCGTACTCGACATCGTAGACTGCGTAACGGGGGGCAGGATTGCCTTTGCTGTCCTTAGCAGCTGCAAGCCTTTCGCGGAAGACTTCATAGTCTTGTTCGGAGGAAACTTCATCAATGACAACCTCCTTCTTGTTGTCGGCGATCTTAAAGATGATGAACTTAGGCTTCTCGCCCTTGCTGCCGCCGGTCATGCGGAACTCGTTGAATTTGGCGATGCAGTCATCGGTGATGGTAACTCTAAGTAATAGGCGTCGTTAGTGCCGATTCGAGACTTTCGCATCAATCTGATCTTTCAAGACAGGTGTAGGATACGATCGCCGACATACCCAGATGCGAGCTACGGGACCCAAGAGAATATCACATCAGTATGAGCCCAGTCCATAAAGAAGTGGGCGGGATACGTACCGACATGATTGCTATGTGGATATGGAAATGAAGAAACCCCGAAGTCGATAAACTACGCTGGCACGCGATGTCAGTAGCTAGTTTCCCCTGATTTTAGCGGTAACTCCCCGTCAAGGAAGAGCAATGCTTGTTGCATCCCAGGAAGCCCGTTCATTTTAATCTACTAACCAGAGAAGAAAAGGATAATTCTTAAGAGATTCCCACAGATTTTTTTTTGGGAAAGAAAGAAGCTAATGGAGATGAATTTCAGGTGAGGGGGTGAGAGAGGAATAATAATGGGGGATGGAGATAGAGGGGCATTTAGTTGTTGTGCTTTGCGGTGTTGCGCCGCCGGTGGGGGGGGTTCTTGTCACGTGATATCGCCGTCGCACCACCAGGCCGTGTTTTCGTCATAAGTCATTTCCCCCTGAACATTCCGGCAGTGAAGCCGAGTGAGTGGTTGGAGTGTGAAGCATACAAACTAGTGCTGTACTTAACATTGCAGCCTGCTGCAGGTTCTTCCGTCACCTGCGCCTCCTACTAGTATCAATAGTTATTGGATGGAGCTGCCTATTCCTGGACACGTATTGCCGTTGCTAGTGTGGGGAACTTATTTTAAACGGATTGTAGGGCCCTGTACTCCGTAGGCACTGGGCATAACTATTTTTACTTTGTCTCCAACACTGTATTTCGATTGTTTGGAACTGGGTGACTAAGTCCCATATAGGTCAACCATGGGACTTCAGTCTACTAACTAACTACTGGTACTACTAGTAGTAGTATTCCCTTCGGCTTCACTGCTTCGATATGATTGGATGCTTCCACTATGCCGGATATTATCCGGGATTCCTGCACACAATTGAACGTGCTCGCAAAAATTATGCAAGCGACCAATACTTCAATGTGGTCGTGAAACTCGATGATACGCTCCCAATTAGTTACTGCGTACTTGGTATATTCCCGGTGCTAGCCCAAGGGTGTCAAAGTGATAACCAGCTCCAAGCACCCGTTGGGGGGGGTTAATTTCTAGTCATGCTATAGAATCCAGTATATATGAAGATATACATCAATAATATGTAATGTAAGACCGCGATTATAACAAGCATCCTACTGCCCTACTCGGTGCTGAGCATGACCGGCTCTGACGCCGACGTTGATTGATCACACAGATTGAACCGATTGGGGTCTGCACGCTGCACCTCACGCCGTGGCAGAGGACAGTCAAAGAAAAGAGAAACGTCGAGTATCAATGATGAAATAGTAGTCTAAGAACGGAAGAGTAAATAACATTGTCGTAAAGGGGTATATGAACGAATGGACAAGAAACATGTCGAGTCGTTGCGGAAGCATCCCGATGCATTAACCCGCAACTGAGCAGAAGATATGTGAAAAGATCAAGACCTTGTAAAACATGACCTGAGGGTAGCGTGGACGGTGTTCTGGTGCTAACCGGCATGAAGGCACGACATCCAACAAAACAGCCGCGGCGAATCATGTGGATGGAAAATGACGAGGCGCTATCGTAAGAGCATAAACCGACATTAGAAGTTCAAATCCCCGTGCTTTTTAGCTCGTGCACGCGGGCCTGCTGGTTATCATAGGTCATCATCTGCTTGTCCTCCATCGATGATTTTTCTCCAATGCTGGGGGAGGCACACACAAACCAAGGGGAATGCTTTGATTTCCCCAGTTGGGGAAGGAGAAGCAATTGGTCTGTGTGAACCATTTGATACGCCGCTGTCGCGCTGTTCTCTATGTCTAGCATCATAGTCCTCCGCACTCTCCGGGACCCGAATACCAGTCGCCCAACCATCATCCCAGATTCCAACCACCTTCAACATCTCCCCTCGGTCCAGGGCAAATTCATCGCCCGCTCGTGGCTGATACGCCCAAAGGACCGCAACCTTGACTCCTGGGCGAATGTCATCTTGGGAGTAATAATCATGGAATGAGGATAATTGTTCCGACTGGCCACTGGCCATCCCATCTGGTGATGAGTATTGACCACCTCTGCCAGAGCGAGGTGACCCGTCACTACCCGCACCAGCCAGGACCGAATTGCTAGACAGCGAGGCAGTACGCTTCCCTGCAGTTGGGGGGATCTTTTTAGACATGGCTCCAGGCTTGCGCCGTAGTAGTCTGAATCAGAGGATTCGCTATATTTTCCAGCACCGAAGAGGGCGGCGGAGTTACGAGAGCGCCCGGGTGAATAACTTGGGGCCTCACGCAGGGCAGACATCCTAGCTACTCGCCCCCCTGGAATCGGTGCGAAGCCTTGTTGGTTGGGGCTGGGTTGCATTGGTGAAAAGCCCTTCCTCTGAGGGTTCGGCTGGTTCAAAACATTGTCATTTCGGGCCCTTCGCTTTCGCCTCCAGCATATCAACGCCAGCGCAGCCAGTGCTGCTAACAGAACAACTCCAGCTACGGCCCCAATCACAGCTCCAGCGATTTGGCCTCCGGAGAGATGGCCAGATGAAGCCCCTGCAGTCGGATTAGATGTCGAAGTGAAAATCGGCGGGATTGTCGTTGATGGCGTGGGAATGGTCACATCTTTGCATCGAGTCGCAGCGTTCGAATTTATGCAGCAGGAATCAGTGGAGTTGGGTGAGCTTGCCCCACAAAATCCGCACAAGCCGACCAGATTCGATCCATACCCACATTCGTCGGACTCGTTGTCAGCTCCCGAGATGCAGGTCACAGTTAATGAGTCGGCGGGAAGAGCACACACGGTAAAGTCAGAACGGACTTGGCTCATATAATTACCGGCTCTTTTTGGGCAAAGATCAGGATTAAGTAAAATGGTTGCTTCGCTTGTAGCCATCAATGCCTATCCTAGATGATTAGAGGATTCCTTACTAGCCAAGTAAAAGGGTACTAACACAGGTATCAGCGCAAAGAGGCCTGGACTCATTATCAGTTAAATCACAGTCTTTTTTTGAACTTTGAACGAGCCCACTGCAAATGCTGCTAGCGGTATAGCGGGCATAGAAATCATCAGTATCCGTAAGATTAGCTCCCTGGCAGCCCAGGTAGTCGACATATCTGGTAGCCAAAACAGATTAGACGAGGTACAAGGTAGGAAGTATGGGTAGCGAATGCCTACTTTTGGGTAACGTAAGATCCTTTGACGTAATCACTCAACTCTTGGTCAAACTGTTTTACGCTTGTAACGTTTTGCATGAATGGGCTATTGGAACGTCAGTAGAGTTTCCTCTGGTTTTGCAGGGTCAAGATTCCAGGGAAACGTACAAGTCAGTGTAGAGACTAGAGCTAGTTGATATTGATGAGCCATTCCAGGCGGGACATTGCGTCGAGCCCTTGAGAGATATGCAAGTTGCCATGCCAGCCTGCGACTATGAGACAGCTGTTCAAAAGGTCGGTGATCTCGGTAATTGCTAGAGAATATGTCGAAGACGAAGCGTAGATGGACGAATGGCACCCAAATCAGTAGCAAAATCGGATATTCGGATCGGACCAATAATTTAGTCGGCGGACACTCTCATATTGCTGCTATTTGGCGACTCTGTATTCTCAATTCCAGACAACACAATCTGTTGGGGCGGAAGAAAACTTCAAAAGCTTCGACTCGTCGGAAATCACACCAAGCGCGTCAAACTGCGGAAGGGAGGGCAAGAGTTCGAGTCCAGAAGAAAAGAAACGCAAAAAAAGGCGAGAGAAAAGTCGATGCAGCTGAAGAACTGGAGTTAACGAGTGACTCAGTCCCGCAAGGAACGGCTAGGAACCGCTAGGAACACAAGAAGAAATGAATAAAAGACAGGGCGCAAAGAGTAGCCTAGAATGGAAGAAAGTGAAGGGTCGAAGGTCGTGGTTTCCAAGTCCAGGACCGTGCTATTATTCTTCCTTGCCTTAGGCGCTTAACAATGAGCGGCACAGAACCAGGTTTGGGGGACCGCACGGTTCGGAAGCCTTCCCACTTGGGTCGGGGTGGATGTGTTGTAATAATGGCTAATGATCGCAGACGGTCGATCTTTGTCGCAGACTCGCAAGGGCACAGGCAAGAAGCAAGGCTAAGTTTAAAGCCTTAAAGCAAAAGGGGGAGAAGGAAGCGACAGAATGGGCGGTTCAAGAGGGTCGGCGGCGTTCCAATTAAACTAGACTCCACCCTTCACTAAACTGCGTTCGTTCAGCAATTAGTACATATACGGCATGGTGGACTAGAACATGAAAGACAGCTTCCGTAAAGGTCCAGGATCAATTGCTTGCTGCTGAGCCTGCCGCTGCTGCTGCCGCGCCAAAATTAAACTCGACTAAACTCACCACCAGATCCACTTTCACGCGGTCGGAATTGTATTGGGAAAGATTCCAGCAAAGACTAAGCGACAGTATAGATCGATAGTACTAATGAACTCAATGCTTAATTGGAGATATTCTTAGGAGGGGCAACCTGATCCATAAGAAGCGCAAGACGTCCTGTCAAGTAGAAAAGTTGACCTGTCAAATGGGAAACCCAACAGAACCATGGGAAGCGACTGCAGGAACAGCAAAGTCTATTCACCTTGAAGACAGGTATACGGAGTACAAGAGGTACATATAGCTGTGCAGGTCAAGAATCAGGATAAGAGTCATATCTAACAGTCTGACGTGGCACACGTTCGAGGCCGTTGGGAGACAGTCAATGGGTCATATATGGGCGCGGGCATTGCATGACCAGCCATTCGAATAATTTCTCCTCTTTCCCGGTTGGTTCTCACCACAGCATTACGGCTGCCAGATCACTGGGCGCCTATAAGATGATAGTGGTTCAAAGTACGAAGTACCAACACAGTATAGAGGCAGTGCGGTGAACCACCTGCCTCATATTTCTGGCTTAGGGTTCCAAGTCGTCTTGTGATGAGATTTCCTCTTTTGAGCGGATTCAACAAGTGGAGCCCTGTACGGGAATCCAGACTACAGACTGGTTAGACCCTTGGAACCGAGAATGACTATGTAGCAGAGTCGCCGATTGTTATATAAAAAATTAAATATTTTTTTTTTTACCAAAGATAAATCTTTGACCTTTTCTTTTCCTTTTTTTTTCATGGAAAAAAGGAAGGGAGTGATAGTATGCGTCAACAATGCTCGACGAAATAATACACCAACAACACTTGTCATAATGCCAGTCTTTCAGGCATCGACCATTGAGGGACTACTGTGAATACACGATTAACACTGCGGGCACGAATCACCGCCATACTATCTGCAATGTTCTGCTCTGAGGCCCAATGTTTTGAAACCTTCCTTCTACGTACCCAGTGAGAGCGTGGCGCCGCTGCCATCGACTTCTAGCCGATCACCATCTCCGCCTCGCGGGTGACTTGGCATCCGAGAACCAACACCGTGTTTCTGCATGGTCAAACACATCTTTTAGTCTGAAACGTAGTATGTGCATGAATGTTTTATGTAGTATACAGTTATGCAATTACTTCTATGTGTTTCGTGGCGACTGTTGCGAGAAAAAAATCTACAATTTTAATTTGTCGATCAATATGTTGGTCCAGGAGCGATACAGTACAGGTGTCACAGAGACATTCCTTACCTCGGAAAATTCATTTGAGACATGCAAGGGCGAGTCTGTCCGATGTGAGGAGCACAGCCCTTGAATATCAAAATTAAGGTACGAACCCTCGGACGAAGATGAACTGCACAAATGCTCCGGGATACTCCACAGCCACCAGACTGTTTAAGTGGAGCCTTTTTAATTCGACCAAAGACTCAAGCGAACCGTCCAGCATTGACATCGCGCGGATTTTGGTTTCTGTACTTTTTTTCGGGTATGATCTCATACCACCAGTAGTCCACCTTATATCACATATATTTATGTAGCTAACTAGCTTACTACCTACGCCCATGCTTGGTAACATCTAATGTAAGTATAAGCATCCATCTTGTATTTTAGGGTTCACATTTTATCATAAATAAATGTGCACGGTTATAGATAGGTACCTAACTACTTGAAGACCCCTCTAAACTGATTGAGCGAGTGCGGGCCAGCTTATTGAAGTCAATGTGACGACGAAAGTTTGCACTGATCATAAAGTATATATGGTGCAACCAGTATATCATAGCCCTAAATGTTTTTTCAAGGTGTCTGTCGACCTATAGATATTGTGAATGGTACATATGGTGCCTAAAACTTGGAAATAGGTCGGCTTTGTGGTTGGAGAGAAGTTAATAAAAGCACTGTACCTAGGCTGTGGTGGATATATAAACCCGAGGACTTCACAATCGTCTGTACTGAAAGGTAAACTACTATCCACGAACCCCCTTCATTCAGTCCCCAGCGTAGAACACTAGTTTTAAATTACAATTAGAGAGCAGAATTCCAAAATCTTCAACACTACGTCTAATGTCAAGTGTCTTGAGCCCCGGCAGTTCGATTCAAATCAACAGCACGGTAGAGGTCAGGTGACCGGAACGACGTCATCTGACCCGAACAGCCACAGAAGGTAGGCATCAACCCATTGTATTTCCGCTGTCGTCATCACAACCTCTACAAGCCATTATCAACGTCTACTTAGTCTAGTATACCAATCATAGAATACACTGCGTGCGTCCATATATCGGTTTTTGCATGAGAGCAGGTCTATTCAAGCAGCACCAAATATACCCAAGCAATTATGTGCGGCTCAGACATCTTCCTGGCGATCCTCGCGATATTCTTCCCACCGGTTTCAGGTATGTACAAGTTAATGCTCCTCTGACTTAGTCACCGCCACTGTCAAACGCTTGCTGTTGATGTCCCCTGCTAATGTTGCGCAGTATGGATTAAAGTAGGCATTTGTACAGCAGACTCGATCATCAACCTTGCCCTTTGTTGTCTCGGCTATGTGCCGGGCCTACTACATGCTTGGTATATCATTCTCAAATATCCAGAGCAGGATCCCGATGATCCATCTACGAACCAGTTCCCGGGGGTGCTCATCGAAGGGACGTCGAAAATGGCCATGTGACATACTACTACGTTTCTCATCAACAGATCCAGCACCCGTCTCAGAGAGGCTACGGTACTGTGGCACCAACTACAGCGACACATCCGCCGCAAGAACAATCACAGTCTGCTCCTAAGCCCCAGAATGATCCCGCGGCCGGCAGTAGCAGCGATCAAACACACGGTGATTCGCGACCACCGCCCACGTATGCCGAAGCCGTGAAGGGTGACCACAAGGTTCAGGACTGATTCAGACATGCGTGAAAGTCCTTCCTATCAATATCTACCCGTCACTTATCTGGACCGCTGCTGTGTGTAAGGGTTGCCTCAGTTGCTATTTGACCTTTTGTAATTGTTTGTACCTCTCTAAAGTTATGGGTTATGAGACTATCATCTGTATGGAATTATTTACGTCTTTAATGTTAGCGGCACGAGGAAAGAATACTATCAGAATTTCGAAGGATACCATAAATACTTAATGTCACTCTAGCTTCAAATGTACTATTTTTCTTGAACCGAGTACTTGAACCGAGGAACAACTCCACTATATTATATATAGACGACCTGAAGCAGATTCCCGCAAGGAATCTTTATGAGCCTTTACATGAAATACTGTGTATATTTTTGCAGTCATCTCTATCTACCCAGATAAATTGCATGATGGTACAAAATCACTTATCGTGAGTCTTATCAGAAACCCGAAGAAAACCGCGGGCGATTCGATGCCGCCGACTTTCCCGCCTTTCCTTCGGCATCCACTCCCCAACCAGCCTTACAACCCACCCGACACTGCAATTCAACAAAAGAAACAGCGTCTGGTCAGGTTCTCGTGGCCCTTTAAACCGGCCATGCAGTCCATGCCATTGCTGCTCAGGCAGTCCCTCCGATCAACCGTTACCTTCACAAGAACCTCTCGTCCGGTCCGATCACCTCTTCATTCCGCCGTTGGCCCGAAGCCTCTACCAGCTGGTTCACGGCGGCAGTTTTCCATTTGCGTACAATGTCAATTTCGGTCGCAGTTTGCGCTGTACTCGTCCAATGAGACGGAAAAGTTGAAAGATGGAAAGACTGTTGAGCAGCCGGCGGACAAGGACCAGCCTGCTACAGGTTCGTCCGAGGGGAGCTCAACAATTTATCTCGGAGCGGGGAGCTTGGAGCCTCCCCCTTCTGCCAAGGAGGGGAATGAGACTGAGCAGGCTCAGCAACAGGAGGTTAAAGATGACTCAAAACTCCAGGGAACTGAGAGCAGTGGCCTGCCGTCGTATTTGGAGAACCGCAGGTCCCAGGTCTCCAAACAATTTACTACCATGATGGATAACCTTCAATCCAACATTTTCGTGGCAGGCCAGCGATTGAATGACTTGACTGGTTATTCATCCATTGAAACACTTAAGAAAGATATACACACTCAAGGTATGAAACAGATCTACTCATGCTCTTCTAGCCCCGAGGGAAGTTGTTCGTCTTTGCTGACCGCCAATCCCTTCAACAGAGGAGCGACTCCGAGCTGCCCGTCTTCGAGTCCGGGAAGCCAAAGACGTATATGCAGCTGCTATCAACAATCGATCAACTTCACAGCGTGAAGTCAACGAACTTCTCCAGCGCAAACATGCCTGGTCGGCATCAGACCTGGAACGATTCACCCACCTTTACCGTAACGACCACACCAACGAAGTAGCCGAAAACGAAGCTCAGGAAGCTCTATCAGTAGCAGAACGCGAGTCCGAGGAAGCTGCCGCGCAATTGAACAAGAGCATACTGTCTAGGTACCATGAGGAGCAAGTCTGGTCAGACAAAATCCGTCGCATGAGTACCTGGGGTACCTGGGGTCTCATGGGCGTGAACGTTCTTCTCTTCCTGATCTTCCAGATCGCCGTAGAGCCGTGGCGCCGGAAGAGGCTAGTCAAGGGTTTCGAAGAGAAGGTTATCGAAGCCATTGAGAAGGAAAAGGTCATGAATCACGTTGAGAACCTGGCTCCTGTCAATGCCACTCAGCAGACTCCCGCCGCACCCCCCGCTACAAACTCATCCGCTCCTATCGTCACAGCTGCGCCATCTCCAGTCGCTGAAGAAACTGCCTCTGAGACAGTCTCGACCGAAGCGCCAGACGTTCCAGACTCAGCGACTCCCGCACCCGACACGACAACTACACCCAACAACCAGAACACCCTAAACGACCTTCTCGAATCCGCCAAATCTCAAGTCTCACGCTTCCCCCCTCCTACTTCCGTTGAATCCTGGCGTCAGTATATCAGCGATCTTTTTAGTGATCGCAACCTAGTCATCACCCAGCGGGACCTGTCGTCCCTCGCTCTCCAGAGCGCGGCTGCTGGCGCAGCTATCATGGGTCTAGTGATTGCTCTTATCCGGCCGCGATGAAATGACTGCGTGCAAGCATGTCAGGCTAGATGAGCCATTGTAATTAGCGTGTCATTAATTTGTTTGAAAATGCTGTGTATAAATGTGGTATAGATATTCACATAGAGCATTTGTGTAACATAGTTTTGAATGAATGATTGCCTGTTGCCAGTACCCTATCTTGGAATACGCAACCTGAGCATTGGGCCACTCTTTCAAAAAATTCATATGCATAAGACATCGATGAGCTGGCGGCTGTTCACCGCTAGTTTTTGACTTGGCATTTACTTAGCAGCATTATTATGCTTTGTCCTATTTTTGATATGGTCGTTGCATCTTGGTGATTTCAGTCTAAGTCTGGGTTTCGTTACCTTTGGTCTTGTATCTTGCCGTTATATACTGTTTCTCCTTCTCCAATACCTGTGTTGCTTCTTGAAGTACACATTGTTGATAAAATCATACCTAGTATGCTCAGGTCATGCACAATGGTATGAACGGACAAAAGGAATCGCATGTGAATATACCTAGGAAAAGACTATGTAGATACAAGTAACCGACATACAAAAGGTATACATCTATATGTCGACCGCCTCCCGTCTTCACCATTACTCCGCTCAATCCCTCTAAGATATTGAAAGAACAAGAAGAGCAGGGAGATGGATAACGGCCAATAACAGAAAGTTCTATACCCAGGAACGAAGGGGTGCAAAACCCCGTAGACAACGAGTGGTACAGGGTCTAGGAGCGAAAAGCGGACAGGGTAATTGTTGAAAGTAATAGAAACACAAGGCTCAGTTTTTCTAATCGATCCATATTAAAACAAGGTCTCCTTAATCTTGACAAGACAAAGAGTTTCATCTAAAGTGCAGTTACAAACCTTCACTCTCTCATCCCTTCAACGTCATTTCCCGTCCATCGGATGAACCGTTCGCTCGAATTGGCATCGTTTGATTCGTTTAACCAATAACCAGGGTGTCCTCATCGGGGAAGCTGTACTGAGGAACCTCAAGGTTCAGAGGGGCAGGACCCTTCCTGATACGGCCGGAGATGTCGTAGTGAGAACCGTGGCAGGGGCAGAACCAGCCGCCAAAGTCACCGGATTCACCGATAGGGACACAACCAAGGTGGGTGCAGACACCTAGAGTGGTGAAAGGTATTAGATATCGCAAAGGCATATATGAAATCGGGCCAGATCGTATCACATACCAAGCATGACAAGCCACTCGGGCTTCTGAACACGGTCCTCATCAGCCTGAGGATCACGGAGAGTTTGCCACTCAATGGAGTTGGCCTCGTTGATTTCATCCTGGGTACGGTGACGGATGAAGACGGGCTTTCCACGCCACTTGATGATGACCTGTTTGGTATCAGGTCAGCCAATCATGCATCACAACAAACGGCTTCGTAGGGATAATCGAGACATACGTTCTTGCCCTCAGGGATGGTAGCAAGGCCGATTTCAACCTTAGCCTGAGCGAGGACATCGGCAGAGGCGGACATGTTGACCAGGAAGTCTGTTGGTGAAGTTGTCATCAGCCACATGCTCCAATGATAACCCCATCCAATCCGCCAATTATCCCCACAACCCGGCTATCTCAATTCGCTATCCTGATATCTTGCACTCCTCCATTTCAATCGATAACCCAGGGAAGACCTACCCTGAACAGTAGCCTTGGCACCAACAGCAGAGGCAAGACCGAGGGAACCGGCCATGAAGTAGGAGAAGACCTGGTTGGAGCGTGGGGGCTTCTTGGAGGCATATTTGCTGAAGTCAGGGATCTTGTAGGTCGAGGATTCCTTGGCGCTGGCGAAAGGGCTCTCGAAGGATGACTTGGACGCATCAGCGACTCCCCTCCGCTGCTGGCAGGAGGCGATGGCAGCGCGAGAAGTGGGCAGCTGTTGGCGGGCGCAAGCGCGCAACAGAGTGCTGGAAGCGGAGGAGAGAGACATGGCGGGCAAAGCAATTGCAGTCAATTGCAAAGACGGACGACCGTTTGAGGGGGGTGGAGGGGGGAGTCAAGGTGGACGAAGGAGGATTTTCCAGATGTTGGAGGTTGAAGTCGGAGGCGCGGCATACGGAAAGTCGAACCAGAGCTTTCGCTTCGGAATCACGGGGCGCCTCATTGGCTGATTGGGTCACACTCCGACACTCACCTTATTTTCTACACTATTTATCAATACAATTATAATTGGTACTCGGTAATGGCGAAGTCAATTCAAAATTGATATCATACCCTGGACAATTGGATTACTTTATTTGCATTCAAATTTAATTCATTTATATCTTTTCCTATTACTTACTCTATTTTTGATATATAAAGGTAACCCCAACAACAACTTGTTCCCAAGCTGACGGAGACCATTTTGCCCGTGATTTCCCGTTCCGTTCATTCCCAATTAACCCAAATGCAAAAGTGATCATAACACGATCTTTCTGCCAACAAAAGAAGCACCCAAATCCAGAACTCCCCATACATGCAACTCCCTCGGTTGATATTGGAACATTATAGAGGATCAATTCACTGGTCAACCATTTCAACATCGCCGTCCTCGCCCTTGCTCTGGTTGTCAACAGTCCGATCGACCACCAGCGTGCTCACTGCGCCCGTCGCATGCATGACCACCGGCGTCCGAGGGCTCTTTAATGGCTTTTCTTCTATAGCTTGTAGCTCTTCCTGATGCTCTGACTCCCCATTGGTATGCGGTACCGTTCCATTCAGTGTGCGCTGTCCTTTCTCGATCTCGGCTTCTCTGATGGCTTCCTTGGCCTTCTTTTCCTTGAATTGTTTATAGGTGGTCGTCTTGGGGATAACATCCGAGAGGAATTCTAGATTATCGATTCGCGAAACCGCCGTAGCTATGAGGGTTAAACATCAGTACACCGTATGATGCTAGAAAACGCCGGTCGCGACTGACCTAGATCTTTGTATTGGATGAGCTTTCGTGGTTTTCGTTCGGATTTGACGACGTTATGCCCTTGTTCTGTGAGATATTGGATGAACATTTCCTAGGCCAGTCAGCGAGAGGGACGGAAGCATAAGGCTGCGACAAGAGCATCACGCACTGTAGCCATCGCGATCACAAACGTAGCGTTGCTTGAACATTGTACTATATCCTCGTCTAATTGGATGATTTTCTTTATCCGCGAAACTGCAGAACCAGTCAACCGGCGATATCCATTATGATGGGTGTATTCCGCGTACTAGGAAGAGCGCTCTGGCCGGTGATCTCATGGGAGGGCGCAGAGTCCGGAGTGGGCTTCTCCTTGGGAGGCATCGTGGGTCGCGTCGAGTGTAAATCTAGGGCAGGGAAAGGGGAAGTTTTCTTGGATATTGCGAAAGAAAATGAAGTCGGTGCTGCGAGGTATGAGTCTCAGCTGTTCCTGTGTTGATCTAGAAACTTGACAATTATTTGAAGTGGGTAGGAGGTGTTGAGCAGCTGAGCCTGGCGCGTGCGGCGTGGAAATCCATATAGCGCGTGGCGTCAGTGCCGATAAAATACGCATTTAGTTATCTAGTTGGATCCCACACTGCAGATCGACTACAACTGATAAGCTGTTATTTTTTGCTTTTTGTGGATTCTCCTGATCAATCTTCGTTATAGATAGTTTACAACACTTTCGCATCGCTTTAATTTGAAATGATTGCATATGAATGATCAAAATATTGTTCCTTTGTCCTTAACTGCCGAAAGGCGGGAAATCATTTAGCTTGCTCCCTCACGTGGCCGCGCGGCTCTCCCTCGATAATGAAGCTACTATCAATCAATCAGTCGTCATACTCCGAGAGGAACAGCTCTACCACTTACTCTTCTCGGTTGCCTTTGACTATGCTCCCATCGCACATCCAGTCCATGGTATGAGCTCAATGCCTGACTCATCAACCTCCCCGCGTTCACCCTCAGTACTATCTGAGCGTCGGAATTGGAGGAGGCTATCAGGCTTATCCACGTCCTCGGCCGCCCAGCAACCAGCCAACGGTCACTCCTCCGCAATCACAGAAGAAATCAGCGAGATCAAACGATATGAGGATTTCACAACTATCGACTGGGTTCAGGATGCGGTGCACGAACAAGCGCGACGGAGAGCAAAGCGACGAGATGGGTTTGGTTTTTGGGATCAAGAAGGCGCTTTTGGGTGGAGACGCAAAGTGCGCGAGTCCTACGACGCTGGGCAAGCTTGGCTAGTTATCACGATTGTTGGCGCTGTGATTGGGTTTATCTCGGCCTTTCTAAACATTATCACTGAGTGGTTGTCGGATATCAAGCTAGGCCATTGTACAACAGCATTCTACCTCAATGAATCATTCTGTTGCTGGGGCGCGGAGGGAGGTTTGTTGCGACTGCCGCCTTACTGGCTAATGTGCTGGAGCTTACAAGTTCATAGGTTGTCCCGAATGGAAGACGTGGACTTCTTGGTGGCTCTTGAATTATGTCATCTATATCTGCTATGCGGTACGCTATCCCTGCTCCGGGATTGCAGAGGTTGTTGCTAAGTCCCAGACAGATGCTATTTGCCTTGATTGCTGCGAGTCTAGTCAAATCGTTCGCCCCCTATGCCGCTGGTTCTGGTATCTCCGAAATAAAATGCATTATAGCTGGTTTTGTTATGAAAGGTTTCCTGGGGGCATGGACGCTCTTGATAAAGTCCATTGCATTGCCGTTGGCCATCGCCTCCGGCCTCTCTGTGGGTAAAGAGGGTCCTAGTGTCCACTTTGCCGTTTGCGCGGGGAATGTCATCTCGCGGCTTTTCAGCAAGTATAAACAGAGTGCTTCAAAGACTAGAGAGGTCTTGACAGCCACAGCCGCGGCTGGCGTGGCTGTCGCATTCGGCAGTCCTATTGGAGGAGTGCTCTTTTCCCTCGAGGTACGGGCATGTGGATTTATTGCTGAGGCCGGATACTGATTGTCTATAGGAAGTGGCATCATATTTCCCACTTAAAACTCTATGGCGCAGCTACTTTTGCGCCTTGGTAGCGACTGGCGTGTTGGCGGTTAGTACCCACCATGTAATCGGCTGTCAAATGCTAACATTCCCCAGGCGATGAACCCTTTCAGGACTGGACAGCTGGTTATGTTCCAGGTGCAATACGACCGTACCTGGCATTTTTTCGAGTTGATATTCTTCGTTTTCCTTGGTGTGTTTGGTGGATTGTACGGGGCCTTTGTGATCAAGTGGAACCTTAGGGTCCAAGCATTCCGGAAGAAATATCTCTCGCAACATGCTGTTATGGAATCGGTTATCCTAGCCGCGCTAACAGCGGTACTATGCTATCCCAACATGTTCTTGAAGATTAACATGACAGAGATGATGGAGATCCTGTTCCGGGAGTGTGAAGGCGGTCATGACTACCATGGCCTTTGCGAGTAAGTAATTCCAAGGAGACTCACAAGCATTGCTTACCAGGTTAGGTCCAAAAACCGGTGGCCTTTGGTCGGGTCGCTCGCCATCGCGACAATTCTCCGTATATTTCTGGTCATCATATCCTACGGCTGCAAAGTACCTGCGGGAATTTTCGTACCGTCGATGGCGATCGGAGCATCGTTTGGCCGTTTGGTTGGGATCCTTGTCCAGGCGTTGCACGAACGTTTCCCTGATTCGGCGTTCTTCGCGGCCTGTGAACCGGATGTGCCATGTATTACCCCAGGAACCTATGCCTTTTTAGGCGCAGGAGCAGCTTTGAGTGGTATCATGCATTTGACCATCTCAGTCACGGTCATTATGTTTGAATTGACCGGAGCATTGACTTATATTCTCCCCACCATGGTACGCTCATACCTATAGAACATCTTCTTATACACAACTGACATACCTGTCTTGTAGATCGTGGTAGGAGTCACGAAAGCCGTTAGTAGCCGCTTTGGCAATGGTGGTATTGCGGACCGAATGATCTGGTCCAATGGTTTTCCTTTCCTCGATAACAAGGAAGACCATGTCTTCAACGTCCCTGTGTCGCACGCGATGACAGCCGACCCAGTCACGCTTCCTGCATCCGATTTTCCCGTGCGCGAAGCAGAGCATCTTCTAAACGATAATAGATTCCAAGGCTTTCCCATCGTCGACAACCGAACGAATAAGACACTCGTCGGATACATTGGCCGCACAGAACTACGGTATGCCATTGACCGCGCTAGAGCGGAAGGCATACTCGCCCCTAATGCTCGATGTGTGTTCACCAAAGAAGCTGCTGAAGCTTCAGTAGCACGCAGAGCGTCTTCTTCATCACCACATCACTTAGCTCCTGATACTTTTGATGCCATCCAACAGAGCGTCGGTTCCAGCTTCATAGACTTCAGCAGATACGCGGACCACACGCCACTAACCGTGCATCCGCGTCTGCCCCTGGAGACCGTGATCGAAATCTTTAAGAAGATTGGACCGCGCGTTATCCTCGTGGAGCACCGCGGCCGCTTAACTGGCCTCGTCACTGTCAAAGATTGTCTGAAGTACCAGTTCAAGGTCGAAGCCCAGGAACACGCACTTGCCGCGACCCAGGCTTCGGAAGGCCCACTGGGAGACCAGACAAGTGCTCGATCTGGCGACACGCTGGAGGAACGAGTATGGAACTTCATACAACGAATCGGCTCCAAATTGCCCCGTTGGCGGCCAGCGAGTCGAGTCGCTTTGTCCGACCACCACGAAGGAAGGGGCATCTCGACCGGTACTGATGACGAAAACGATAGACTGATGGAACTGGAAGAACGGCAATAGTGATATCGCTTTCCATGTTCATGTATATATATAGATATAGAACCTGTATGATTTAAATCCTTATGAATCCCAGAATAACCATACATGTCATACATCCTTCCCAGAACTCCATCATACATCCAAACAATCACATAAACCCATTCAACCAATCTATATTAACACTGATGCAAACACACATACTCTACAATAACCCTTCCCCCAATCCAACCACCACAGAAAAAAAATAATAAAACGTAAATCTAATTATCCCTCATCCCAACCAAAACACACCCACCCCCCATCATCCCAGCCCCAACCCACCAAAGTCCACCCACCTCCTCCCTAAAAACCAACATACCCAGCATAGCCGTAACAAGAAAGTTCGCTGCTGTATTCGTAATCGACACCTTCACCGTCGACGGCGCAGCGTCAAGGCCCTCGTAAAAAGAGCCCACATAATCACATTACAGAGGACATTAAGACCCAGACAAGCCTGTTCCCACACTTAGTACACAAATTACATGACACGGAGTCAAACAATGAATGCCCCTAGGAGAACCAAGGGGGTAATGCTTAGATAAAGGGACGGAAAGGGACGGGAGAATCATACACCCCTAACCAGCATCTCCAGGGTCGGATGATCGCCTGTTAGACTCAGGAAGGCGAGGAGAGATTTCGAGAAGGTTGTTGTTTGGGTATCGGTTGTCCTGGGGCTCTGTTAGATTCTCTTATCTTTCTTATTGGTCATTTGAAGGGGTGGGCACTGCTATGAGTTATTTAGCAATGGCAAACGTACAGTTTCGCGAAAAGGCCGTTTAGGGCGGCGAACGCGCCGCTTGCTAGGGCTAGGACTACCCAGCGGGAGTGTGTGGACATTTTCTCTATTTGGTTTATTTGCTTTTGTTATATACTGGGGGTTTAGTTGGTGAGGGTGGTTGGGGTTAAGGGGAATGATTTGTAGACGGATGGTTGATATGTCGATGGAGTGTAGGGTGTTTCTTGGCGGGTTTTGCCAAGTGTTTGGGGTACTTTGGGAGATAGGGCTGGTTTGTATGTGTATACGGGGCTGGGTTTATTTTTTGAATTGTTACTGATGTGTTAGGGATAGATAGTTGATAGTGCTTTGCTTTCTAATAGTCATTGGTGAAATTATGGGTTTTAGGGGGCTTTGGTCCCTATGAAGCCTTTCATTTAGATCCGATAATGGCCTAATGTAAGACAATTGCAGCATCGACACGCTAGAACTCCAATGTCTCGGGGCTTGTCAACTACAATAGTTGGCCATAGCCCAGATACTTTTAAAACATCTTTTATTAGACTCCGTCGATGACTATGGTCTCTGGTCATTTCGACGGCTCAAGATACCGCAGGAACTTCAATTGTTAGTGACAAATAGTAAATAGAGTAGGTCTCGTCGATCGAATACCAAAATCGCTACTCGCTAGTTATATATAGTAACCCATCTAGTCTATACTATAGTCTAAGGCGATAGTCGTTCAACCCGCCATTTATACGAGTCACTCTGCGAGTCATGCACCCTCACATACCGGAAGCGATCATGCAGTCGACTGCGCCGTCCCTGCCAGAACTCTACCGACTCCGGCACCAGACGCACGCCGCCCCAAAACGGAGGCAATGGGATCTGCTCCGTATTGGCGAACCTCTCCTCCATTTCCCGTACCCGCTTCTCTAGCAGCGCCCGGCCGTCATCGATATCCGTTTCATCCACGTCACCCGGAATAGCCTGGGGACACACATCCTGTGCGAGGCTCTTCCGCCGCCGCTCGATCAGACTGTCCGGCTCTGCGGACCAGAGCACCTTGCTCTGCCAGCTGGCCCAGCCGCCGATCTGGCTACCCCGTTCGCGGGTCCGCCAGTACAGCTCGCTCTCTTCGCGGCTAAGGGGTTCAATGAGCCTTCGATACGCACCTGCCGTTCGGTAGTTCCCCAGCTGAATGTGAGGGCGGCCCATCTGTTGCCTTGTGGCATTCCGTCGTCATCTGCGCCGGGCTCGGGCATGGCACCCAAAACACAGTCTCCACCTGCTTGAGTGCCAAAGACCTGTGCGCCCTTCCCTTGCCGACTGCCCCAGTTGCTGTAAACTACCCAGCCTCGCTCGTCAAGCTCCTTCAGATATACAACGCGCGCGCTCACCCGGCCGGAGGGCAAAGACGCCGTAGCCAGCGTACATGTTTCCGGGGCCGACGACGCAGACAATCGCGGGTCGCGGAACCAGGTATGGAATTGATGAAGCGGATTGGTGGGGTGCATCTGGGAGACAGTGAGCGGTGGGTTGGTCACGAACTGATGCGCGCGAGCGGGATGGGAGACGATCTCTTTTTCGGTAACGGAGTTGGGCGTGGAGGTCTCCGACCGAAGGGCCTCAGCGACAAGTCGAGAGACAGTGGCAGGTGTAGCGACTTCCGGCTTGTGGGGAGGCGTTGCTTGGTCATTAGGGGTTGATACTTGGATGTCACCCGGTGCAACTGGCAAATGTGGGGATGTGTCAGCAGCTATGTTTGTAGAACGGTGGTTATGCCGGTTGAATTTGGACGAGTAGAACCTACAGATTAGCTTTCTGGGGTGTTTCCCATGGTCATCTCCTGGGCTGGCGGGGTGGCCAGCTGTTGGATTCTCTGAACTCATGGCGGATAGGTGTCGCGGGGTTGGGTGGTAGCACTGGGCGAATTGTATGCGCCGGAGAGAGAAGTGAGTTGAAGACGACAGCCGGAGAGGACGCATAGGCTGTCTTCTACCGACGAAGAAGTAATTGGAGTTGAGTGAACGAGGAGTCAGAAAGGACGAGGGTTGAAGTGTGACCGTTGCATGGTTCAATGACTTAATCTCTTCCGCGGGGTTGGCCGATAAACGCCGATACCAAAGTCCGTCGCCAGTCCGTCCCCAGAACAAGCACAGGTTTTCTACTTGGAAGCAAACAGCATTCTCCGGTTCATAGGTTTAATATGGATTATCCAAAACTGTTCTGTGTACAGCACAGAAGTCTTAAGATTCAACAAGAATTGCAGCCAGGATTCCCCTGACTAGAGAGTTGGGAGTGTCTATGGAACAGATAAGAAATAGTAAATAACCCTGACACCAAGTATAACCCAGTTTTTACATGAACGCCATATCCGCTCGCTGAATGCAAACCATAAACAGAATGTAGGACAAATGTACACCAAATGGGCATGGTATTGCCTCCCAAATGCCAATGCAGAGACCAAATGGGCTGGAAACAGCCAAAGACAGGGATCCAGCCCTGAGAACATATTAAAAATGAATATTCTTTTATCCCTTTTCGATTCAAAACGGCAGATTTGAGCCCGCTTGAATCGAGAAGGTGGAAGGCAACGGTTCGTCAGTGGATGACGCGAGCGCCTACAAGGCAGCGGCGACCGCGGCGCCGCCACCGACAAGATCCACAATCTTGCTAGCGACAGCGGTCGGGTATCCGCGAGACAGCATCTCTTGCACAATACGAGAGGCGTTCTCTCGCTCGTTGGCGATGAGGAATGCACGAGTCATAGCCTCGTAAGTGCTGGGCTCCCGCTTGTCCACACCGATGGTATCATAGATGGCTTTGGCTTTGCTCACGTTGCCCTCAGTGGCCCACCCTTGGATAAGAGTGTTGGCAATGTAGGCAGTCATATCAACCCTACGCTGGGCCATATCCTTCACAATGCCCTCAGTTTGTGCGACCTGGTGGTTGGCCACCATGGCCTCTAGGAGGGCCTGGTACAGGCATGGTTGGAGTCGCACTTTGCTGTTGGAGACGACTGAGTTGAAAACCTCCTGAGCAGCCTTCATGTCATGCATCACACAGCCATGGGCATGGATGAGGGATGCATAGTGCACGGCCTCGGGTTGCTGTCCGGCGGCTTTGATGGTCTCGAGTACTTTCTCAGCAGCCTTCATATCTACAGGCTCTAGAGAAGCGTATGCGTCGATGAGCAACTTGTAGGTGTGCATGGTGGGCTGGATATTACGGCTGAGCATACGCTCATAGTATGCCAGAACCTTGCTGCGGTCGCGCTTGGTGTTCAGGAAGTACTGAATCATGGAATTGTAGGGAGCTGGGCGAGGCTTGTAGTTGGGCATCGACTCCATCTCCTCAAACATCTCTTCGGCGAAACGTTCATCGCTGACTCGGCAAAGGGCATTCACAATTGTTCCGTAGGTAACACTGGTGGGACGCACACCCTGGGCACGCATCTCAGCGAAGTACAAGAGACAATCATCAATACGACGGGCTTTGCCAAGCTTTCCGATCAAGGCGTTGTACAAGAACGAGGTAGGCTCAACTCCTTCGGCGACCGCACGGTGGAAGATCTTCAGGGCTTCGGTCGCTTCGTCGAAGGTCTTGGTCGATTCCTTGAGCGTGGTGATATAAAGACCGAAGGTGTTGGCCGACGGAGCGGAGCCGAGTTCCGAAAGCTCCTGGTGATATTTGGAGGCGAGGCTGCGGTCATTAAGGGTAAGACAGGAGGCTACCATGGCGTCAAGAATTGACACCCAACCGTACTTGACAGCGTGATACTGGTGCAGGAGAGGGACGTCGCGGCGAGCCATGCTCAGGATTTCATGGACCAAATCGTTGCGATGACACTTGGCGGCAGCGGTGATCAGTTTGGCATAGGTGATGTAGCGAGGATGACGGCCAGAGCGGCGCATGTTCCGAAGCCGAGCCAAAGAATCGTTGAGGTGGGACTCAGGGCGACCGCTGGTGCTTTCCAACTGTTCGGCAATCATCGCAGACCCTTTGAAATCGGTGGCATAGGCGTACGGGTCGAACGAGTCTTCGCTGGGCGCAGAGGTCATCGCCGACATCTCAGAGACCGGAGTGTGGCGATCGGACATGAACGAAGAAGGGCTGGAAGTGAGCCCAAGGTGGTCGTGCCATCTCCTTACCATGTCAGGACGGCTGTTGAATAGCTTCCCGACCGCCTGGTCGACGACGCGAGTGGTGTACGGATCCATTTGAAGCCCGGTAGCTAAGGCGATGTCGAGCATGTGAGAAAAGCGAATCGGGTGCGCAACATCCAAAGACGCGGAGCTGTTGACAAGCATGCCGGCCTGGACCTGGAGAGCAAGGGTTAGGTCGCGGGGGTTGAGCTGTTGGATGGCAATAGGACCGAGGCTGGCGACAGCGTGGTCAGCGACCGGGGAGACCAGTCCACCGTTCTCGACCATTGACCAAAGGAGAGCCATGACAGTTTGGGGAGAGAGGACGGCAGCAGTCTGGATAAGTACGCGACCGATGAGATGAAGACTTTCATTGATCTGCTCCCGGACAGAGTTGAGTAGATAAGGGTTGTCAATCGAAGCGTTGCGGACCCGTCCAAACATATTACGGGCCTCGATCAAGGCTTCTTCGATCTGACCACTCTTCAATAAGGCCACCGAATACATAGCCGTCGGCTGAACCATGTCCGGTGTTGTCTGACCCACAGTGCTTAGCATCACCCACAGAGGCCTAGCGGCCGACACGTTGCCTTGACGCACGTACAATGCCAGCATCGAGATAGCAGGGGCATGACGTTTTGTGGTATCAGTAGGCAGGCAATCGTATGCTTCGGAAGCCGTTTTGAGGTTACCGGCATCCGCCGCGGCGATGCAGATTTCGGCCATGGCATGATCCAGGGCCCCATCGCGCAACTGGGCCTTAGCTTGACTCAACGCCTTATCATACTCACCCGATTTTAAGGAGTGCGAAACAAGACCATCTCGAACGATCACGGTTTCAACAGCATCTTTCCGAGTTTCTCGATTTTCTGTCACCTCATCGAAGGAGGCCCGGATCCGCTCCAAAAAGCGGAAAGCCTCCTTCTCCTTACCACACGATAGATACGCTTTGACCAACGCAGCGTACACCTGGCCATCCAGACGTTGAACGATGCTGAACGTACCATTATCGTCTGAAATTGCGAGAGCCTTATATTCGTTGTAGCACTCGATAGCGCTCTTCAGATCTCCAGTAGAGGCGAATGCATCGATCATCGACGGGAAGATAGAGGCATGCGGTGTAACTTTCTGGGTTTCCATGTGGCCGTAGATGCGAATCATATTCTCAACTTGACCCTCCCTCGCACATGCGATAATTAGGCGGCTGTACGTGTCTAATGAAAAGACGACATCGGTGTGTCTTGTCGTGGCAGTGTCAAATAGTTTGATAGCGATGCCGAGTGAATGGTCTTCATCGAGAATGGCTCGCTCTAACTCGCTCGAGTGGAGCATGAACTTGCCAGGCTCTTCCATTCCTCCGTAGCGGATCCGGTCCCGCTCGAGCGATTTCTTGGACTTCAGGGCATCGTGTGCGCGCTCCACGAATAGCTGGACGAGGGTCCGATACGTCTGCTCGTCGGGAATTACCCTACGACGGAGCATATCGGAATAAACATCCAGTGCCTTCGGGATCGCCTGAGCGGTGTCACCATGAAGCTGTACAGCTGATTCTAGCAGGGCATTGTAAGCACCGACCGTGGGAGTCAAGCCATCCCTTAGCAGTGCTTCGAAAGCACTCGGGATCTCAGCGTACTTCTTCGTCAAAGCCAGCTGGATAATCTGATCGGAAGCGATGCGAGCTTGTTCCGTGGAGACATCCTCGATGGCAGCTACGTCCGCTGGTAGTTCAGGAAATGCCTCCGTGGCCGAGTTATCCTTTGCTTCGGATGCCTCCTCAGCTTGGGCTTGCTCTTCCTGGATCTGAATCTCGCGAGCTACCGCCTCCTCCACCTGAGCGCTAACATCGGCGTTGGCAGAGGCCTTCGTGATATGTGGCGAGTCGAAGTTATGGGAATTCGTTGAATTCAGGCCATCCTCGGATTTTGCTGCTTCTTCCGGCGTTGACGGTTTCCAGCCCAATTTCCGCTTCACCTGAAACTGTTTCCAATCACTATCATCGCCAGTCTGCTGAGCGTGTTGCCACGCGGCATAATACGCCGCGAGACCTAAGTCTCCTGAGCCCGAGCCGCCCTGGCTGGCTTTGGCGCCAGCGCCGGAAGAACTTGAGGGTTGGAATACATTTTGCAAGGCACTCCGGGAGACCTTTGCCGGTTGATTGGCGAGTTGATTGAATGTGGCGGAAGACGCGTAGGAAGACTGCGACGCCGCAACTACCGACTGAGCATAGCCATGAGTGAAGGCTTTGGTGAAACTCTGACGTGCGAGATGGGTAAACGGTTTGAAGACCATTTATCTGGCAGGAGTCCTCTTCAACGAGAAGAGGCAATGCTGGTTCCAATGTTAGTCACGCGACCATTCTCTTAGTTCCGCCTTTCCGGCTTCTGGAGATGTGTTATCTGGCTCATACCTTGCAATCAAAATAATAATACGGATGCAGGTTCATTTGACGACAACTGGCCGTCAAAGGAACGCGCTGGTATATACAAGGGAATTGAAACGAACGAAGGAAAAATTCTTCTCGTTAAGATGTCGAAAAATATGACAGATCGGACAAGAGGGAATGGATGGATATTTGAGAGAAGGCGAGAATAATCGTTGACCAATCCTAAAGCAGATTAGTGCCGATCCCGCTACTTGACCCCTTTGAGGATACTAATTAATTCAATAGGTTAGTGTAGTGCTAGAGCTGATCGTACCTTTGGGGAACGAATCGTCTTGGATGGAATTCTAAGGAATGAACCCTCGGGTATGTATCTACAAGACGCAGGGGGCAGACAATCCTACATTTAAAACATCCAGACAGGAACCAGGGGGAGGGTAAAAGGAATATGGCTATGCTTTTTCTAAACATGTCCGATGCGAACTAGAATACACGAGAAAATAAAATAAAAAAAATTCAAAAAAAAGTACTACAGCTCGCCCTCCGTCATTCCCTCGTTGCCTAAGGCTATTTCCACAGGTCAGGTGGCCCTAGAACCCCGGGATAAGAAGCCGTCAGGGGACTTGACCCAATCGGCGGGCCGTTCACACTGGGGCCATAGGAAGATTCAGGAGCGGGAATTCTTAAGTTCCTGATGCCTGGCCAAGCGTGACTCACCGCGTCCCGGCTCATTTTCTTTAGACCCTCCTCCGGAGTTTGGCGTCTAAGCCCCGAGTGGGACTGGATCCTAAGCTCCGGATATCCGAAGACCGAGCGACCGACGGAGGTGCCTGAGGCGATATTTTCTATTGTGCTTGTATGGCTAGGGTTTTGCCCATGGTCATACAAGCACAAGTACTAGACTACTAACTAGTTCGAGGACAAACAAAAGGTATTAGTAAACTGCGAACATTGAATTTTCCCCTCTAAGCAGAGACGGAGCACGGTTGAATTAACTTTTCTTCCATCTCCATCGCGGTACGTAATTGCAGTCTCAGTCATGCTATTCGACGAAAGGGATAAACTCCCATGCAGAAGAGACCACTTGTCCTTCTTTAGGGCCAATGGTCTTGTTTGAATCCTTGCTTAGCCAGCACTTATTCGCTCGTTTTCCGAATTTATTGTTGAATATAAGTACGGGGGTAACGGCGAACGGAGAACAGTACAAAAGAGTATCCGTACACCTGATCAAATGTCCGACGGGAAATTCCCGATATGTCATACGATGGTCAGAGCATCAACAGTTACCCTAACAAACAAGGCTTCAACACCTGCTCTCGGCGGCTCACTGCCACCAATAATAGTGGGCAGAACCCGACAACCTAGTATTAAATAGCATGATGATGGAACATTGAACCCGATCGATGAGGGGTGTAACTTCACTGAAGGTTTGTTGTTGGTGAGTGAGAGGAGGGAGTCCTCTTAGTCAGCGGCGTCACATCAGAGCTCAAGCCACACAAACACCAATCTCAGCCACAATATATATCAGCTGCAGCCACAACATGGAAATCAAACAGTGGAACGATGATACGAGCTCTGGAAAACCTCCCTCTCAGACGAATAATCAATCTCATCTACGCAAATAATCATAATAATAATAATCGTATTGTTTGCTTCGTGCACAGGTGAATCTTCTGAGGGTTAAACTTGTCTATCCTATCTTCGGTGACGATTCGAGGCGGGGCACTTTTGACCGATTCGGGAAGGAAACGACATAGATTACTACATTGGACCGGGGTACCTCACTGTGTTGTCGATAACGCTGATCTCTCGCCTACGCTCGCCCTTTGCAATTTGATTTTTCTCGGATTGGTGCGTACAATTCTAGCGCAACCGATACTCTATACAGAATCGCACAACAGTTTCCCCTGGGACGTATATGGAGTAGTAACTGACTATTGAGATTCAGTGCTGAAGCAATCGCCAGATCCAGTTCGACTAACCAGTCCGTGGGATTTTTCGTAACAAAAGAGAACCTCCTAGTCGAACAATCGCCGGCCGCCCTCATGTCCTATCCTCCATCCGGGAGCACCGCCTTGTCCGCCCCGGGCAAGGTCCTTCTTACCGGTGGTTACCTCGTTTTAGACCGCAATTACACGGGGACGGTAATCGCACTCGATGCCAGAATTCACGTTATCGTTCAGCAATTGAGAAGAGGTCATCGACGTGGTGCATCATCCAGCTCAGCAAAAGGGGGGTTCGATACGGAGACACTCGAGGACGGAAGTGCCGTGGACGAAAAGGATAAAGAGGATGTAGTGGTTGTACGCTCACCGCAATTTGTCAATGCTCTGTGGGAGTACGGCATACAGCGTTGTGAGAATGGAGGTGGAATCAAAGTGATTCAAAAGAACGAGGGGTAAGAGTATGTTCTCGGCCTCCCACTGTTCAAGAACTAAAGGATCCCAGGCGTGCCAATCCGTTCGTCGAGACTTCTCTCAACTACGCTCTCACCTATATCAGCTATGTGGCCGACTCGAAGGACTTTGGGTCCCTCTCCGTTACCATCCTGGCCGACACTGATTACTACTCCGAGACCGCCTTCTCTAGGGCTTCCGAGTCCCCTGGAAGATTCGTAAACTTCGGTGTTCCCCTCCATGAGGCTCACAAGACAGGACTAGGTTCCTCCGCGGCTCTAGTAACCGCCCTGGTGTCGTCACTGGTCATTCACCGTACCCTGCAGCCAGACGACCTTGGACCTGCTCGTGACAAGCTTCATAACTTGGCACAGGCTGCTCACTGTGCCGCTCAAGGTAAAGTGGGATCCGGGTTTGATGTGGCTGCTGCCATCTATGGCTCTTGCCTATATCGTCGATTCTCCCCAAGCATTTTGGAATCCGTCGGCGACGCCGGTTCACCTGGATTTGAAGAACGGTTGTTTGCAGTTGTGGAGGACGTTGACCCTAAAAACCCATGGGATACAGAGTGCCTGGATTTCGGCTTGCGACTTCCTCGAGGCATGCAGATGGTCCTGTGCGACGTAGAGTGCGGGTCGAATTCTCCTTCGATGGTCAAGAAAGTGCTCGAATGGCGAAAACAGAACCAGCAGGAAGCCGATCTTCTGTGGGCTGCCCTCCAGTCAAACAACGAAAGGCTCTGCCTTCAGCTCAAGCAGCTAGCCCAGAGCCCTGACCAAGAATCGCCCCACGATTTCAATGATGTCCGCAACCTCATTCAACGCTCTCGCAATCACCTTCGTAGCATGACCCGCAAGGCGGGAGTCCCCATTGAGCCGCGTGTACAGACGGAACTGCTTGACGCCGTGTCGGCCATTGACGGGGTGATTGGTGGTGTAGTTCCTGGCGCGGGAGGTTATGATGCGATTGCTGTCTTGATCCACGACGACCCGGAGGTGCTTAGCAAGTTAAATGAGCTCTTTGAGAACTGGGAGAGTAAGGTGGAGGACGACTTCGGTGGCAAGATTGGAACTGTCCGGCTCCTTGGTGTGCGTCATGGCTCAGATGGAGTCAAAAATGAGGTTCTCGAGCAGTATGCCGGCTGGATTTAAGTCGACAGTTTGTCCACATGCTCGCCATACACAATCACTAACCCAGATAGATACGAGTACTGTGCAGGTTGACAAAAATGGTTAGCTGACCCGGCATACATTACACCTGATCCCAGCGCTAATATTGATTCTCTGCTTTCTTCCCTTTTATCCCTTCCGTTAGCCCAAGCATTCCGTTACGAGCGATGCCAGTGATGAAGAGCATTTCTAGTCTAAGCACGATCATAACCATTGCATCTTAAGATGATAGCGTACACGAGATTGATAATGCAAAAAATGCTAGTAGACGTCTTGTGAAACGAGGCTGTTCAGCCTCCGTTCAATTCATGAAAAGTAAAACAAAACAGGGAACTTCAAATACAGCCAATTCCACTTTCAACCAGAGTCAATGTTACGATAATCGCAACTGGAGGTGCAGACAGAAAGAAAGCCAAAGCAAGCAAAACCCGAACTATACACCCCAAGTCCGACACCCAAAACACGACTACTTGCCAGCGCCTCAAAAAGTCGAGGACAAAAACAGAAGAATATGAAGAAGGAAGAGGCTATACCAAAAAAAACCAACAGCTCCACAAACCCGTAATCCCACTCCCCAGACTCACCTATGTGTGTATCTTGAACCCGAACTTCGGTGCTAAAACCTCGCTCCCGGACAATTACTCAAACCCCGAGAACAGCATATAAACCCATCCCACGGAGCCAAGTAGTGCTCAATGTACCCAACTCTATCAAATTATATACCTCAATTACCATCGTCTTTACCTTCGGACAAAGACACCACCGCACCCACTACTAATCGTCGATATGCGTTCTGCTCCCTTCAACCCGAACTTCTACTATAACCGTCGTCTTGATCCGCGATTTGGCCGCGGGGGTATCGGGGGATTGATCAAGGTTGCTCTTGTCGGGACTTGTGTTTGGATTGTTACGAAAAAGGTAATTCTAAGGTAAGGGATTTAAGTATTCTTGGTGTGGCTTTTTGGAGTGTGCTGATTTTGGGGTTGATTTTTAGTCCTGGTTCTGGTGGTACTAGGAGTACGTCCCAATAAGGGTCTGGTTTGGAGGGTAGTTTGATCTGATTGTTCATGGAGGGTGTTGTGTTGTGTTGTGACTTTGATCGTGTATTTGGCCTTGGTATATCCTTGCGGCCTTTTATTGTTATCATTCCGGCTTGCTTTAGAATACGCCATAGCTGCCAAAACTAGAGATGTCTTGTCTAATAATAAGAACAGTTCATGGCATTGGGCACGTAAACGACCTAAAGGTCTTCATAACTATAAACATAATATTCGTACTTGACATAATGATTCAAATGTATGTGCAGACATACAACACATCCATCGCATGAAAACATCCCCTGATAATCATGGGTATCCGGCAAAAGCAAAGTATAGGGAGTCCAAAACGCCGTCGTAGTACATGTTCTTTTGACTTTTGAAGTTTATGGTTCTAGTTAGTATAGTATGAATTGAAGGGTATCACACCATATAATAAAATTGCCCTTATAGTTGACTAGGCAGGTAGGACGAGTATTCCTGCGAGTCCTGGGGCGCATGTTCGGCGATTCGCTCCTCGACTTTCTCGTTGTTGTTGAGGATGCCGTACTCGGCTGCCTTGGCCTCGATTTCATCGTCGGAGAGCTTGGGGAGTTCTTTCGCAGCGCGCACGTAGCTCATCTTCTCCACGTAACCCTTGGCGAAGATCAGGTCGATCTCTTCCAGACTACGACCTGCAGTTTCTGGGTAGAAAAACCAGATGATGGGAATGAAGACCGCGTTCCACGCTGCGAAGAACAGGTATGTGCCCCAGCCGATATGTTCCACCATGACAGGGGTGATCATGACCACCGTAAAGTTGAACAGCCAGTTGTTGCAGGTGGAAATGGCGTTGGCCTTGGCTCGGGTCTGATAGGGGAGAGTTCGGCGGGATAGAGCCATGGTAGGGGCAGCCAGGTGGCTCCGAAGAAACACATGTACAGGAAAAAGCCGAAGACGGCTCCCTTTGCACTTTGTTCATCACCCGGAATAAGACAGGCGAATACAATGATCATTGCTGCGCACTGCCCGTAACTGCCTCCCAGGAACAATTTACGGCGGCCAATCTTTTCGATGAAGAACCATGAGAACGTTGCGAAGATGGCGTAGCATATCATGTTAATACCGCCTATCAAGAGCGCAAAGTTATGCGACTGGCCGATAGATTGCTCAAGCAAGACTGGGAGATAATAGATAACAGCGTTGCAGCCAGAGATCTGCTGGAACATCTGCGACGACGAGCCCACGAGCATGCGGCGCAGATGCTGGGACGGCCCACCAGTAAGCAGATCGCTGAACTTGGCTTTCGTGGCACCCGAACTGTCTCGTGGTAAGCTTCAAAGGCCGGGTATATATCATAGAAGAGGAAGACTTACGCTCGGACGGAATCGAGAATCAGATTCTTTTCCGTTTGAGTGTGACGATCCTCAATCTCAGTGCCAGCTAGCGCGGCGAGCACCCGCTCGCCTTCGGCGACTTTGTCGTGGGCGATGAGATAGCGAGGTGATTCGGGTAGGTAGAACATGCCGACAATGATAATGATTCCGAAGAAGACTTGGAACGCGATCGGAAATCTCCATACGAGGTCTTGTGGTCCGTAGTGTGCACCATAATCGATCCAGTATGCAATAGCTGTACCTATTGCGATGATACCACCTTCGATGCAGATAAGGAGACCTCGATTGCTGGTCTTGGAACATTCGGCTTGGTATGTGGGGATTGTCGAAGTGTTCATTCCATTCCCAATGCCAGTAATGACTCGACCGAAGATGAATTGAAGAAGGGGAAGCGAGCCGGGCATAGCAGCTACCTGAATAACGACACCAACAATCATAATAGTGGCACCAGCGATAACCATCCACCGGCGACCCGTTCGATCTCCAAATAGCAATGCAAGGATTGCTCCGAAGAGACAACCTACACTAGAGGATCAGCTTACTCAAACCGAAGGGTGCATTGTTACAACCTCATTGGCCACTTACCGACTTCATAGACTGCAGTTACAGTAGCCTGCATTGTATTGTCGTCCTTGGTTGCCGTGAACATGTCATTAAAGGCCGGGTCTGAGATGATGCCCGACATCACACCCTCTACAACCGCGGTCAGCGTAGCCTCCCCCAGATGTACGCAAAGAGTAGAGACTCACGATCATATCCGAAAAGCAAGAACCCCATTGTTGCAATGGTAGACACTGTCAGGGACAGTTTCCGCCCTGACATCCCCGCATAGGTGGGAGGCGCCATGATGAGAATACTATACTACGTTGAAAGCACAATTCGCAATATCCGAGGTAGAGCAGTAATTAAATTGTTATATAATTAGAAAGAGGGTGGACCGAGAAGTAAAACTTATGTACAAGACAATAGGATCAGACAGTTTTTAAGCAAGCATCGGCTCCAGGTCGACAGTCGTCGACGGGAGATACTGCGTGCGGTAACCTGTGGCGTCACATACCCCAATGTGGGAGGAAGACCCTATGGGGAGAAGGGTGTCCACCTCCACAATGATAGAGACCATGGGCAGTATAGTCCTTTGACATCATTCCAGAATTCCCTGACTGGAGGAAGTAATGAAGGGCCACTTGGAAGCACCATAGAGTGTAGAATCAGAGGTAGAGGTGGGACTTGTCACCAGCGCGGTGGAAGGGAAATGATGTAATACCCCTTCACAGAACACTTTAATTCCACCACACAGTCACGAGTCGTCCCCACCGATGGAGCCAACATGCGTGAAAATCTTTTTGCTTGTCGTCCAAAGGTTGCATGGTAGTTGTCGACGTCAAGTTTATCAAACCCGGCATAGTCACTATCATTGGTCGTAATGTAAGCCAAGTGAAAGCTTATGTCCACAATCTTCGGGAGCCCGATCCCGTCATCAAGAAACAGAATATCTACGGTCGTTTTCCGACCACCAATGCTGGTCTTGATCAGAATATCCTTGGTCAAAAGATCCCTCGGCGGGAACTGTGTTCAACGGCTTTATTTCACATGTTTGTGAATAAGCTGGCAGGGATGCGTTGGCGTGTTGTGCATAGCAGGATCGCAGCGATAGTGGAACCCTGGCGATCTTCTGCACGACCGGCGGCGCCCCATGTCTGGACATGGAAAACACAAACTGGATGCGTCATTACTACAAGTTTTTCTCGCACTAAATCACTGATGGACTTACATCAAGCCAATGGTACACTCTCACGCTCTTATACTCAGTGCTAAAGTGCATCCAATTATCGTCCGAATGGTCCTGGCAGGTGGGTAATGCCAAGTCGATATTCAGCGTCATGCCCTCGGAGGTCGGGGGTTTGTCCTCGCACTCCGACAGCACCACACTCTCTTGTACACCACAGCTGCTTTTTTCTGAAAGGTGGTCATCGTCTTCACCCAACCTATAGGGCGGCAAAGTGGGTACAAAGTCTTCTGCCGCTTCATATAAGAGTCTCCTCTTGAAAGGTCCAAGGCAGGAAACAAGACCATCTTTTCGGAGGAACTGAACGTTCTCTGCAATATAGATTTGCAAACCATGGAACCTCGTGTTGGCCAGCTCGGCAAAAGACACAGTCACAGGTAATATATGACAGAGAGGAGCGCCTCTTCTCGACATGAGGATGTCGCATCGGAGCAAACGCTTCCAGGACCGGGCAATGTAAACCGGCTCTGCATCCTCCACGAAATCCTCTGCCGGACAATGGATGGCAGCGATTGGCATGTTCTTGATGATGCTATGCCTGAAATGCCCTGGGAATTCTAGACATGCTCGGACATTATATCGAACGTGGCTTCGCCGTACATTAACAGACTCTGGCAACTGAGGGGGCAATATCATTTCGAAGTTGTAAGTATAGGTACCGGGTTTCAATAGCTGATACTCAGGCGCGGCGGTACTTTTGCATTTCGAACATAACTTGTTCGTGATGGTGCCCCACAATCTGCATTTTTGGCGCGATGTATTGCATTCCGTGGTACCCGTTTCCAACATTCCTAGATTTTCCTGATCGGCATGGTGTTGGGGTCCAGTCCCTGAGATATCCGGACCGAACACCGTCAGTGTACAATCTGTGATGGTCTTCGAATCATGAAGACCTACATCCTGTTAGACAATTCTCTAGCATCTTTGCCGTAGAGCAGTTTGTTCAACTGCATCTTGGATTCCTTACCATGAGGCCAGTGTACATGAGAAACCCCGCTAAAATTGACTGTTAATTTCTTCACCATTAACGTCTCCTTAACCTTCAATTCACAAAAACCCCTCAGGACGGCAGATTTATGCGTGTATGTAGGTATGAACACCGCGGGCTCAGTGAGATTGACAGTGAGCTCAGGCTCATTGGACTTAGTCCGGGTCATATAGTCAGTGTGTAGCGATGGCTGTAGCATTATTATGAGGTGAGAGTGATGTGAGAATTCTTGAATCAGTGAAAATCAAATTATCTAGGAGGACATCGTCTGTAAATAGTGGTATGGCGTGGCAGTACAGCTTGCAGCTTAAAAAAACAATGGTTCATGTTGGGAGCTTGGGCATATGACCCAACCAAATCTAGACCCAGTCCAGGAGACTTTGCATTGCACCAAAAGATATCTGCCGCGGAGACTCTGCATATCAGAACCAAGAATTGCATGACAGCAATTGGGAAGGCCCACTTGACTTCAACTAGACGTTTAGTCGGCTCGGGTACCACGGCTGAGGGATCTCAAACGGGCACATCTATTTCGACCCAAGGTATGACAGGCAAATGACCTTCAATTGCCATCGGATGATTCGATACCTTAATAATTTTCTGTATCAATTCATTGGGACGAACTATCTACATTGCTATTGTCAACGCGTCCCTCAGTTGGAAGTGATGTCACGATAGTCAGGGGCGTGCAGTGCGACTTTCCAGTTATTAGACCGCAGGAATCCTGTTGTGGCGATCAGGCGATGATAGACGAGCTAAGGTAAGGAAGTAGTGAAATGCTCTATAGTTCAGACATTCCAGAAGGCAAGGGACCCACCGACTCTTATCTGGACTCCGTTCGACTTTTGCTCATCCCCTATGAACAGGTTCGAGCTTTAGTCAGGTGAGAGCAGAAGATTTGCCTGGCAGGTGATCTGGCAGAAAAGAAATGCTCGGTGTTGGAAGACGTCGATTGTTAGCGGCTGAGTGGCGTGAGAGCATCCCTGTCATAGGATTGGCATACTACTATCTCCCGTCTAGGATTTCGGCCCTGGGGTGTATTCTGAATTACAGGGCAGTGACATCAATTCATTCTGTCATTACGAAATATGAAAGCATATGTGAAGAATAAATCCCTTGGGCTTTATAATTGGTTATTTTTTTTTCATTCCCCTTGGTCTTCTATGAGACTATGATGGAGGATTAATATTATACTTTTGTTGTGCATACTTTGTATGGGTACCTCGAAGATCAAGGAGACACTGTATTGAAAAAAAAAAAATCGGGACACTAAGTGGAGACCGTCTAGCTTGGCCCTACTGAGTAACAAATTATTCAATTGTATGACTGATGAGGCGACATATACAGTACACTAAGAGAACAGGATTTTCGGCAATTTCTTGCGCCATTAAGATAGCCGTTTTACCCGGTTCTTATCAACCTATTAATAGAGAATTTAAGTGGAATATCGCAAGGAATATCTTTTCTTCCAGTGATCTAGAAGATGGCAAAATCATCCCAATTTGTCACGATATTTTTCTAGGTTATCGCGGCATCAAAATGCCTCACTGATCTAGGTAGACGCTGAATTATACAGGCCTCTATATTTTCTGGAAAAGTATTTTCCCTTCTTCGACGGGGATTTATTATCAATCGACCAACTTACATACCACTTTTAGGGCACAAGACCCACTCATCAGTTGCTTATTTCAATTTGAGTATATAGGGCGTTGATCAAACATCACCTGACATTGTGAACCGCTTTCCCTTGCTTCAACTAAATATGTTTTCTTTGTAAGTGAGGGAAGGTCGTGAGATCAACTCACCCTGTGAAGAGGATTCGCACGCTTTCAGGTGTTGATCCCGTAGGTATATTATCTAGGACTTAGAGTTCAAGTCAAGCATGAACATCCTTTATTATATGCTAATGCAAGCACGAAAGCCGTTATGAAAACCGTTGTTACATCAATGCGCGCTGTCCGAGGCCCCAGGTCCGGATTCTATCAATTGACAGGCAATAAGCAATAAAAGACTTTCGGCATCCCAAACAGAGCAGGGAGACAGATGGAAAATCACGAAGACAAGTTCATATGAAATTAGTAATTAGATAGGATTTATCTTACTCAGGAAATGAACGAAAAGAAAAGACTAAGCTACATCTGAATGGTTGAGAAAGGGGCATGCTAGGCCTACGAAGTTATGACTCAAGAGTCCGAATATATAACGGTGATCAGCGAAAAACCCCAGGCACATGCAGCCGAAGTACAATACCCCAACCTTTTCTGGAGACCCTTTCCGACTAAGATTATTTTCCTGTTGGCACTTTGTTCAGTCAAGATAGTACGAACAATCACATTAACTTCCAGGGGGTGTGGGGGAAGAATGTATGTACAATGCTCAATGGGTCCTCAACAAGGTACGGGATAGATAGCATTCCAATCCTCCTTGCTTGATCTCCACTTGGAAAAACAAACATCAGATCTTCGGTCAGCGAGAGATCTTCATATCTTGGTGGGTGTCTGTATCCCTCTCTTGATCATGAACCCTGTGACATGAAAGGGAGGGCGTGGTTCGGACACCTAGATGCTTACATCCATTAGCGAGAAAGAGAAACTCGTTGATTACCTCCAGACCATTATCAAGCCTTTCATATTCTCACGTGCTATTTGCCTGGAAGACCACTCTTGACAAAGACGCATCGTATATCTTCAGA